GACTTTCTTTTTAAGTCCTGTTTCTACTATAATTTTTATACCGACTCAGAGGTTGCTGCAAATTTGCTACAGCGGGGTGGCTGAAAGCCACACTATTACCCGCAACTAAGAGAAGTAAGACGTCTTAGATCTCAGTATACACTCACTCATAGGGGTAGGAACAAACTAAAAGTTGGGGGGGCTAAGGTATTATTTTTACAATTGATCATTAATACATAGCATGTACTGAAATTAATACTGTCCAAAATATTAGCGTCTGTGCTCATTAAATGTAACAAATTCCTTTGCAATGTCCTCGATGTGTAAATCATCTGTAAATTCTTGGTGTGTAGGCAAAATAACTACATGATTAAGACATTGTGGAGCACAAGTAGTTTTTAATCTCCTTAACATTGAAAATGTATGCTCAGCTGAAGCTGATGTTAACAGAGTTGTTAAATAAAGAAGTAGAAGCTTGTGTATTTCTGAAAAAACTAATAATAGTGTGTTCTTAGAAGTTAAACAAATGTATTAATTGTTTTACAAAACGAATCATCACACAATATGCACACATATAAGGATTACCTAAACTAAAGTCTATAGTGTTGATAATAGTAATGCATGTACATCACTTAAAGTTGGAGGGGCTAAGCCCCCCTTCAATGAAAGTTGGGGGGGCTTAAGCCCCTCCTGCCCCCCCTGTTCCTACCCCTATGCACTCACTGACCATAGACTGCCTGTTATTATATAATTATATACGGTGCTATAAATGACTTCGAGGGTTATTGCCAAATACAGCCTAAACCTGCGAATTAATGAATCTTTACAGTAACACTGGACAGTATTATTGGCGGCTGTCCGGAATAGATTTGTAAATTTTTCATTATCTTTTTCCAATTACTAAGAAATGCATGTTACCGTAGGGTGCCTTTTTTCAAGGGCTGTAAATTTTACGAATTTCCCTAAAAATCTATTTCGCAGATTTAATTTTTGTGAATTTATGCCATCTTGTACCGTAATTGCCGGTTTGATTTCGCAGAAGTAATTTTTGCAAATCTTCAAAAAATTGCAAAATCTGCAAAATTTACAGCCCTTGATAAAAAGGTATCCTATGGTATCAGTGGCTCATTGTTCATGTAGAATTTATAGCTATGGTAAGGGTTGCATGGTTAACTTCCTTGATCAGAAATTTAGAATGCCAACTGCTTAGCAGGGCATGCATGGCCTGCCCTTGTTTGTATCATGCATTTTAGCTCTGGAATGGCAATTATGCTTGTATAGATGTTAGTCTCTCAAATGAAAATGTAGAATTAGGCCTAACTCGATCCCCTACCTATCCAATTTCCACAATGATCAAGTCTTATTTATAATTTCATGATATAGAATTAGTATCTGAACAATCAGATTATATTTTCTTTCCTTTTTCTCTTAATTCTCCTCTTTCAACTGATTCTCTTATAAGTAAGTACTAGAGAGATGGGGAACAAGCAAACTAGTCAATCTGATCATGACATGGTATGATAACTATAATATTGTCATAATGTTGAGTTTATTCACATAAGAATTATATGACACTGTGCATGTATGTGTGCCTCTAAATTTTAGTCAAATACCTCCTAATTAATGCCAATACCTATTATTATATTTTTATGGACCAAAAGTGCATCTTTAAGGTGGGTGTGGTGCAAGTATTATGAATTCTTGCATACTAAAAAATCAATGCCATGTAAGCTATTATTTTTTAATCTGACTCTGATATCAATAAAATTATAGTATTTAAACTATTGTTGGCCTCGCCTATGCGAGGTATAGGTAGTTGTTGTGTGTGTCTGTCATTCATTCATTCATTCATTCATTCATTCATTCTGTACAACTGAAATTTGTTTTTAATAAACAATAACTTTAGCACAGCGTGTTCTAAGCTCCTAGATCTTTCTTTTTGACGTGGAAAAGTCTTTCTTAACTGTTTTGTGTTGCTCAAATACAAGTGCTAGGTACAGAAGCTTCAAAGTAAGAAAATCGAGTAGTTGGGCCAAGTTCCGTTGTGTTG